TTTATAAAAAAGTATACTAGAGTATAGTATATATACTAGCTAGACTTTATTACTACTAGTAAAAGTTTTAAATAAACTAATTATTAAAAAAACTTTATAAACTATAAAGTACTTATTTATTAATATAAGAATTAGATACTATATATTTTAACTATAGTAGAGAAGCTATTTAAGTTTTAAGCTAAAAGGTTTTTTACTTTCTCTACTATTATTTTACCTACTACTATACTCTAAGCTATACTTATAGTAGCTCTTATATAACTTAGTAATTAATAATAATAATAACTATAAACTTATAATTAGACTAATAATATAAGTAAGATAGATAATTTAGATAATAAAGTAATACTAATAGCTTATTAATAAGCTTATAATAAAATACGTAACTAGCTAAATAGACTATAGATATATTTAAGATTTTTCTAAAGTATTTAGCTAGCGTATTAAGCTATAGAGAATATATAGTCTTTTTATAGTACTATAAATATATTACTACTAATTCTAGAATTTTCTTAAGCCTTTAAGTAATTATAACTATAATAGAAGTAGTAGTAGTACTTACTTTTAAAAAAGACTATATATAATATAGTAGTACTACTACTACTAAGTATTATCTATATATTATTAGTAGTAATAAATAAGTTAATATAGATTATAAGTCTTTATTATAAATATATAAAAAAGAAAAGTATAAATAGATAGTAAGAGACGTTTAAGTTTAGGCTTAGTTTTAATAGCTTAAAAGTTTATTTATTAGTTATAATATAGTATATTATAGTAAAGTGTTAATATAGAGTAGAGTAATAATACGTAGTTAGTAACTCTATATAGTAATTTTATTATAGGTATATTTTCTAAATATCTTATACTTACTATATATAGCTGTAGAAATTAAAAAAACTCTCTCTATAATATTTGCTATAGATATAGTACTTTAATAATAATAATAATATACTTATAAAGAGTAATAGTAATAAAAGCTTTTTTAGTAGACTTAAAAATAAACTTAAAAGTAGTAATAAGTAAGCTATAGAGCTATAAGGCTATAGAAATGTTAAAATATCTTCTATTTAGAATTTAAAGTAGAAATAAGCTTTCTAAGGTAAATACTAATAGTAATAATAGAAAGCTCTTAGTAGATATTTTAGTAGTAAGAGTAGAGCGTAGAATAATATTAAATAGAAGCTGTTCTCTTAGCTATAGATAAAGTAGGTAGGTAGGTAGAAAACTATAGTAGAGGTAGTGTTAAACTATAGTACTGCGTAAGTAAACTTTAGTTAGTAATAAAGTTAAATTATAGTATAGAGAATAGTAGTTTAGAAGAGATTATATAAAATCTTATATATAGAGAATACTTCTCTTTATTTTATATCTTTCTTAATACCTTTATATATATTTAAAAAATCTACTAATATATCTACTAAATATAAAGAACTTTCTATACTAAACTTTTTTTCTATACTTATAATAGAGGCTTTAGTTCTTATAATAATAATAATAACGTTTAGTATAATAAAAAGTACTACTTTAGTAGTTCTTACTAGTTATATATATAGTATATTTAACTTTCTAGTCTATTCTAAAGAAACTTTAATAAAAAACTTATAGAATATAGCTATAAGAATAGAGCTAAAAAAGAACTTCTATTAGAATAGTATAAAATAGATAAAAGTAATTACTAGTAATAAAAGACGTCTTATAGCTTTATATATTATAGGTATATACTATCTCTTCTAAATAGACCTTTTTTTTAATATTTTAGTAATTATAAAAAAATAGTTTAACTAGCTTAGTATATTAAATAAAAAGCTAGCTAAGATAGTAAATATACTAGTAATCTAAAATAAGCTTAACTTTATTAAGCTTATAAAAAGTAATATTTTTCTTAGCTAAAGAAAAGTAGCGCTTTACTAGCTATAAAAGATAGTATATATATAGTATAGTATTAGACTATACTAATAGACGCGTAATAATAGGTAAAATAGATAGTTAGTATACTAGAGAATTATATAATATAGCTAATATAGCTAGCTTATAAGTAATTATATATAGAATATAAGTTACTAGTATAGGCGTTATATAGATATTATATAAGTATCTTAAGTTAGTTTAGAGGCTTTATACTAGTAGTAAGCTTACTTAGTTTTTTTTTAGTATTACGTAATTATATAAAGCTAGTACTAGTACTAGTTAATAGTCTAGATAGCTATTAGTAATATATAATAAATATAAAGTAGTTAGTTTATTATAATTACGTGCGTAGTAACTATTATATTAGTAGTAATAGTAGTAGTAGTAGTAGTATAAGTATAAGTGTTATAAGTTATAAATCTAGGCTTATATTAGAGATTTTTAAGTTTACTTTTAGAGTCTAATATAGTAACGCGTTATTATATAATTACGTAATTATATAATTTTAAAAAGGTACACTATAAGCTCTATCTCTTAGGCCTAGAGAGAATAATAGAGTATAATATTATAAGATATAACGTAGTAGGCTCTATTTCTAAGGCCTAGAGAGATAAAATAGTATATTATATATAAAGTAAATTCTATAGATAATAATATAATAATAGTACTAAAATTATTAAATCTATAAAATATCTTTTATAGATATTAATTAATTTTATAGATACTTTATAAGTTCTTTAAGTAGTTTTAGAAGCTTTACACTAGTAGTAAGTATACTAGAAGATTTCTTAGAGTTACGTAGTTATAGAAAGTAAGTACTACTAATAGTAAATAATCTAGATAGCTTTTAGTATTATTTAGTAAATATAGAGTAGTTACTTAATTATTATAATATATTAAGTAAGTATTATAAAAGTAGTATAAGTATAAGTCTAATAAGTTATAAAGCTAGATTAATATACAAAACGTCTTACTCTACTATTAAGTTTATTATAGTAATATTCTATTACGTAATCTTATTACTATCTAATAAAATAATTATAAATTTATAAAAAAAAGGTATACTATAAATTTTATTACTTAGGTCTAAAGAAGTTATACTAAACTATAAGTATATTTTCTAGTTTATAGTATTTATAAAATAGCTTATTACTTTTACTATATATTTATTAATAGAAAATAGATAGTAAAGTATAACTTATAGCTATTAATATAAAAAAAGAAAATAGAATAGTAGTTAACTTTTAGAAGTAAAAGCTTTAATCTTTAAATCTAAAAGAAAGTAATATTATAAATATACTTAAGTTCTCTACTTAATATCTAAGTATATAGACCTTTATAGTACTAGTTTATTTAATTAGTTATTATCTTTATTAATAAAAGAAAAAAGGCTTTTTCTAGTTAATAAAGCTTATTTAGTAGTTTTTAATAGTAATATAGTTATTATATAAGTAAGTACTAGTATACTTAAAATAATAAAGAGAAAAGTAATTAAACTAAGAAACTAGAAAGAAAGCTTTCTAAATATATATACTATACGCTTATTTACTTCTAATCTTTTATAACTAAACTACTTTTTAGCTTTTTCTTCTATTTTAGCTCTTTAGCTACTAAGTTTTATAATATAACTTAGATTAATTTAAAATACTTTCTATATTTAGTTACTTAACTTATACTTACTATAAATATACTTTATATTCTAGTTATAGTAACTATAATTATAATTTCTATTTTTTCTCTTTTAGATATATAATATAAGAGATAAACTACTATTATAAATATTATAGTTTAATAGTCTACTTAATTTTTACTTAAATAAAGCTTCTAATAAGTAAACGTATCTAACTAAAATAAAATCTAAAGTAACTCTATATAGAGTTAAGCTACTTTACTTCTAGCTAATAGTAAAAGTATTAACTAGATTTCTTAATATATATAATAATATAAACTCTAAGATATAGACTAGCTAGTAGATAAAGCTTTAATAATATTATATTTCTTCTATCTAATTATATTGCTTCTATTTAGAGTATTATATATATTATATTTTAGAGTATATATAATTCTCTTAAGTCTTAGCTTATAGCTATATAGCTTTAAAATACTAACTTCTATAATTATTATAAATACATATAGCTAATTATATATAGTTTTAATTAAGCTAACTATAGTGTATTCTTTTATATTATCTATAATAACTTTAGAGCTTTATAAGTAGAGTAATAAGTAATTATAATATAGTGTTAGTATATATATCTATTAAGCTACAAGCGTAAAATGTGTTTAGTGTAGCTAGCAAACAGAGTGCAGAGTCGATGCTTACGCCTCTAATTAACGCGGAATGCTACCGAGTCTGCATGCATGCATGCACGCTGCAGCATGTTCAGCTTTCAATTCTCAGCCTATCGCAGCCGTCTTACTAGCAGTGGCGAAATCTAACCTTGAACAGGACCTTCGGTACCCTCACTCTAGAACGCCACTCATTGCCACTCGCTCACCGGTCTTCCGACACATAAGCGAGCGCATAGTCTTAGTGATTCTTTCTTAGCTCAGATTCCCTTCTACCTTAGTTCCGTCTCACTCTGCATACCTAAGTACCTAGGTAGTGAGCGTTAGGGTTCTAGTTTCCGATCTGAATGCAAAGAAGCATAGCGCAATGTCCGAGCACCATACCTAGGTACCAACGGATACCCGAGACTCTTGCGAGGTAACTTACCAGTCGCATCACTTGGCGATGAAGTACGCACAGGTCCTAGACGTGAGCCCAACACTAGGTACCGATCGCGACTTGCCATTCCATCCACAGCGTCGAGCATAACCGATGATTCAAAGGAACACATGTTCCTTCTTCGAAAGATCGCGGACACCAACCTCGCCCTATATGAGCTGGCCATACGAAAGCAATGCGTCCACGAAGCTACGCGTAGCAGTGTTCTTGGAGAACAAAACCCCAACATCCATCGAGCATTGGCAAGAGCAATGCCAGAAGCTCAACATGCTTCTGCAGCTGATGAGTCTCCAGCTGTTCATCGTTGCGAAGTGAATGAAGAGCAATCTTCAGTGGCAGCAGATCAATCACAAGAATCTCCATGGCACAAACCTTACGGAACGAAGCTCGCCGGCGTTACGTCCCAGAACCCCTTGAACGATAGCCCATCGCACACGGATCTTCATAAAGATCTTGTACCGGCCGCGGAGACTTCGCAAGACAATCTAGCAACTCTGCAACCTGATGAACTGGTCCAAGACGACGTCGATCTCGACCTGCTATTCGAACAAGTTCCGTTGAAGTTTCCCCTTCAAGAGGGCGACCATTTGACGGCAGACGAGATCAAGCGATACAGAGACTTGAAGCACCGCTTCTTGGATGACCGTAGGTTTTTCCGATACCTATCTTCTAGAAAGCGTTCTTACACTTGCAGATGCACGAACAACGTCCCTCAACGAGTTCCACTTCAGCGATAATCGCTACATCATTCGGTTGTATCCCGTACGGGTGGATCAAGATCGGCCTGCGCATCACGATCCGGTCAGCTTCGACAACTTGGCGGTATTGTGCGACGAGGTCAGAGCATCGTCATGGCACTCTATGTTTCGAGACTGGGACGCCGTCTTGACTTTCATGCCCTTGGTGCAAGAGAGACTCCTGTGTTGCACTGGGGAACCAGAGCAAAGGCTTGACGCTTGTTGGGATCGTCGGCCACGTGGAACGTTCCTGGACTTCGGATGGACCCGAGAAAACAAAGATATGCCAAAAGCCTGGTCATTTTTTGCCTACTGCAAGCCGGAAGAGTTGTTGACCTGTCTTGTTGAGATCATGGACACGACTGCAGAACTCGAATACCAGCTGGCCGGTAAATGGGTTTACCCAAGGTTCCAGCCATGGAAGCTTATCACGGTAGGCCAGGTTCTCCATGGCCTTTACCGGAAACGCATTCTGGTTGAGCCCCAGTCTCCAGACAAGATCAAGTATATTGAACATGTTCTGCATGTCCTCGCATCTACTGAGCTTCTCAACACCTTCTTCAAAAGCGAGATAATGGATGTTCAAAAGCTTCAATCTAGGCTCACCCAGAAGAGATGGTTGGAGAATTCTTTGTCGGAGATAAAACTCGATGACATGGACGACGTCGATGAAGTCCGATTTCTGCTATCAATGCCTCTATCTGAGCTAGCAGCGCTAGCTTTACGCCCAGAGGACAGTCTGCTACCCCATAATTCTTCCAGGCGAGCAGACGCAGAGGTGTTCAATCCAAGGCATCTTGGCCTGAATCTTCTAGTTGGCGTTGGAGGGTTGAAAGTGGAGTGGACTGAATACCTTCACGAGCACATGACTCTCAACACATCAACGTTGACTGTTTACATTTTCTGGTTCGCGTCACACATCCGCCAAAACTCCATGTTTCAGTAAGTGGTTGTTGCACCATGAGTGTCGTCTTCTAATATTATCAGCATGTACTGTGATCTCTTTGATTGCAGAGCTGATCATGCAGATATTGTCTATCCTATCGTGTCACGAACATCAATGCCATATCGAAAGCAGATACTCAGGTCGTATTCATGGATCTTCCGTGAGCTGGCATCTAGCTCGTCACGCAGAGAGGCATACTACGACCTTCCGCTGCCTTGGTGGCTTGCTCCTCTGCAAAGCGTCCAGCAACAGCGAATACCAACCAAGACTCCAGTCAAAGGCTTGTTTGCAAGGCTAGGCGAAGTTCTTAACGCCATGGCTATGTTGTTTCATCTCAGAAAGCCGCGACCACAGAGGCCGCACGGAACCATCCGCTCGCTTCTCAAAGACAGCACTGGCAGAAAATGCAAGCTACCTATCGACTGTCTTGTACAGTTTAGGCCTTTTGATAACGAACGTACAGAGATTGCGGAGGGTGGACGACCAAGTGAGTTGTACGCTGACGACTCGGACGACGAAGAAAGCCTTGGCGTTACAGACCAGATGTCGTACCAGTTATATCCGGAACTTGCTCCTCGTATCAAGATCTTGATTGAGCATCTAGAGAAGCAGAAGCCGAAAGGGTTCGTCGCCCTGTGGAAGGACCAGAGAGACTCCAGTACCTGGTATACGTTCTGGGCGGCGGTGATCTTTGGGGTCACGGCGTTGGTCCTAGCCGCAGGAAGTTTAGCAGTGTCAGCTGCGCAGACTTGGGCGACATTCAGGGCGCTGGACATGCAGGGTCAAAGATGAGGCGTAGTCAGATTTCTAGAGTGCTACCATCTTTCCAAAGTTTGTAGATAGAAACCGAGCTTAACGCTCTAAAGTTCAGCGACAGCATAAGTTGCAAGTTGATTGACTGTAACAGAATACTTACCCACGATGTTCAACAAGTGTAGACTTATGTATTACTCGTCATAAGGCAAGGCAGAAGAGACGTGAGAATTAATAGGCTAATCAACTATCTACAAGCGAACCTTGCAAGTCTTCGTCCTAGTAACTGACTTGTCGCTTTCACTTGTAGCAACGAGAGTCACTGTAGCTTCCTTCGAACAGTATCCTTGGCAACCAACAGCGACATTGACTGTCTTCTGCTTACCTGCCTTAGCGTAAGCCAACGCGTTAGGGACAGCGACCTTCCAACCAGCGCCTTTGACCTCGGTCTTCAAACGGTAGATATCCGACCCAAGGTAGGCGGACAGATCCTGTGGGTGAGGGTTTGTCGCAAGCGAGGCGGCTTTACCGGTGTTCTTCAGCTCGAAACTGCAGTATAAGCCGTCTGCGGGACTAGTGGCGTTTCCGTTGCTGACAACCTTGCCGGATCCGAGCTCAATGCCATGTTGAGCGGACGTGGTAACATTGGTCGCGGTCGATGCTGCGCCTACGGTGTAGTGCAATACCCCGTTGTCGTCGGTCATCTTCTCGAGGATGTACAAATGCAGGCCGTTCTCGTGATCGATGTGCTCGTATTCTGAGCCAGAGTTTGTACCAGCGTGGAACAAAGCATCGACTAGTTGCCTATAGTCGCCAATGGTCCAGTATCTTGCGGTGCCGTTGGGGAGGAAGAAATCGATCTGGCGCGCATCCTGTGGGTTTGCATCAATCGTCCATTGGAACGGCTGCACGCGATCGCTGTCCTTGGTCTTGCTAATCATGACACCAGAATCTGGGCAGAAAGAGTCAGCACCAAGTCGCTGAACGACCTCAACATTGTAGTTGTTGTAGCCACGTCCGTCGCATAGAGCATCAAGGGACGCATTACATGGGGGCGCAAGGTCGCCGGCAGCGCCAAAGGAAATATTGAATCCCATTAGACTGTCCACCGGATCGACAGAGCGAGCGGTAATCTGCGCGATGACTGGACCAGAAGTGGCGAGACCTGAGCGAGAGATTTGTAAGATCGGAGTTGTATCAATGAGCCCAATCTGGTGCTTGTCTCGCATAGTGTGCAGGGATCCCATTGATGCACCCTGTACAGGAGGAATCTGCCAGCGCGTGTGGGGTCCACCTGGTCCGTTGAAACTGCCTCGGGACAGCATGCTCCATGGGCCGGTGTATGTTCGTCGCGGAGGGTCACTGAAGGGGTTGTTGTAGTTATCTCCGATACCGAGCAAGTGCGATAGTTCGTGAGCAAACGTAGCCATTCCACTCGATTCTCCCTGGGTAGACGAACCGCCACCGGCGTTCGGCCATATCGTAGAGGCTGCAGCCCACGATGACCACTCAACATAACGTGTACTAGCCCAGTTTGGAAGCGAGGAGTTATCCGGTGGTCCAAACTCCTCGGGAACGTCTTCTTTGGAGAGGAACTTCATCTCACCAAATTCCTGCCACGTCGAGGATTCGTCTTGGCCGGCCGAGAGAATGAAGGCCAACTCATACGCGTCTGCCGTCTCATTTCCAACATCAGCACGCCATGCTCCGAGCGCATCGGTCCTAAGATCAACCGAGCATGGCGGTCCTTCGGGGCAAGCGCCCTCATTAAAACCACCCTCTTCATCGTCGATACCATATTGGTAGCTACGCGCCGGCATGCGATAAGGGCCGAACACGGTCAGGTCCACACCATACTTTCCGAACGAGTCGCCCATCCAATACTCGTGGAGTGTGTGACCTTCGTTGAGCTCGCTGGGTACGTTGAGAAGATCGTGGTAGAACTTGGGCACATCATCACGGCTCAAGCCAGCGGCAAGTGGTTGCGGGTTACCGAAGATATCCGAGTTGGCCGGCAGCGTGACGACGAACGGAGAGTCCGGGTAATCTATTGTCACCAAAGCGATGTTGAAATTTCGATCTCTGCCCTTGCGTGCTGGATCAGCCCAGTTGGTCGTGGGTGGCGCAGCATAATCTAACCAAAGCTTTAGTAACCTTTTCCACTTGCGTTGTCATGCTTAGACGTACCATCCCAAGTCATGTTGTCTGGATTGACCCAATTTTGGGGGTCAATGGGCGCGAACGGATTCACAGGCGCGCTCTGGCGACGCACCACAGCAGCTGCCGCAAACTCAAGCATCGTGCTCAAGATGATAGCCATTGAGGCGCGATGCGGGCTTCGAATCGCCATCTTTCACCACAAAGCTTTGTGAGGCAGACGTGCGAGCGACAGATAGGGCGTAAGAACCGGAGGTGAGAGGGACCCTTGAAGTATGTAACGAGAACTCGGACCTGCATCATCAAGATTGAGTTGCCTACCCATGATGCCGACTACGTATGGCAAGACGGATATCAAAGTAAAGTGCATATGCGGCTGCCTCTTCCAGCTAGGTCAGCCCGTTCCACCGTCTTGGCACGCGGGCACCTGCTGTTCCCAGTGTGCGAGGCTGGGGTGGACGATAACGGCGTCGCTTGGTCCTGCACTTTCGTCGATCTGATGGATAATTGCGTCCAATGCGACGGCTACGTACTTGACGCAAGCTTTGGTGGTGCCGTGAACCTTGGTACGCTGGCTGCGAAAGCTTGTCCGCACCGACCACGGCGATCCCTTCCGCCCCGCTCGAGGCTTGCCGGAAAGCAACAGTGGTTTTATCGTATCGCGGACGACAGTTGATAGCACGGGTATAGCTCGGCCACTTAATTCTGAGATAACGGGCGCGCCAGATGTTGTGGTTGCTTTCTCATGCTACGACGTCATTATGCGCATGCCTCGACATCCTTTCGTGCTTTGGCAGTAACACGGCTACAAAACGCTGTCCAACTCTAATTTGTATCAACCGAGAAGTTTCCGGCGCTTTGATCATGCCTACATAGCTGACGTGAGACAACTGCAGCGCAGCGATGTACGGTGCGTCTGGCAAATTTCCGATGTAACTCCTTGCATGTCAATAATAGAGGAGGGCCATGGGCTGGGAAAAGAGGGTTGCTTTGTGTTCCCAGACTCCGGCTCGCATGTTTGATCCCATGAATGGCACATTCTCACGATACTGTTGATATCATGGGTTTCCCTACATCGCGATTAGACCTACCTCCCAATGTGTACAGCGACTGACTATGATTAGCCAGCATTACGTGGATGTGACAACCTTACACGTGGGAACATAGATATATGCACACGAAGTCTTGTTATGTATTGTTTCGCCTCCAACGCAACATAGGCCCTCTTGGTTATCAACCGATGGATAGACGATGCTCAATTCACCCCAGACGTCCCTTACCGCCCCCATATTTCCCCTCCGGGCCCTCGAGATGAGCATCCAGAACTGCCGAAGTACCGCTGAGTACACTCTTGATGGCTTCAGGCAGTAGCCTACTAAGCTCGTCTGCAGTGGATGCATGCGCAGCCCAAATCTGGCCACCACTTGCCGCCTTGGCGATGCCTGAGTAGTCTGGAGTTGGCGCAAAACTGATATTGAGCTCCTCGTTGCTGACTTTAGAACCCTCTCCATCAGGGTGTACCAGTAGCATGGATCGTCGCGGAGCGTTCCAGCCCTTGTTGTTGAGGACGACCGTAAGGATGGGAATGTTGTAGCGCTGCGCAATCCAGTATACTGACCCGGGAACGGAAAATAGATAGGTACCGTCCCCAACAATCTGACACACAAATTGCTTCTTTCCTTCGGTATCAGTCGCAAGCTTGACGCCAAGCGCACCACCTCCAGACCATCCCAGTCCGCCACCACCGCAGTTTATCCATGAGCCAGGAAGCGTAGCCTGAATCTGGTCCGCAACAAAGCCGGTCTGTGTAACGGCCTCTATAGCCCAGATGGTGTCATTAGGGCAGAGTTTCTTGAGTTGAGAACAAAGGTATGGAGTGCTGAAATGGCCCTTCTCGTCAACCTTGGCTTCGCCGGCAATACCTTCGAGTTTCTTCTTATGCGACTCTTGTAACGCTGTCCACCGTTGATCGAAGAGCTGAGAAGAGATTTTCTCTTTCAGTTGCGATTCAAGATATTCGTTGAGCTGCGTCAGAGAGGTATAAGAGTCGGCTCTGTAGCGTTGTGTAGCGTTAAGGTAGAAGACAGGCATCTGTTGTTTTAGGGGGTCGACATCGACGTGGAAGATCTTGGCATTCTCCTTGGGATGGCACTGTGTGTTGATCCAGGGCACGTCGCAGTCGAGGACCAGGATGACGTCGGCTGTCTTGATGGCAGGGTCGTTGCCGTACCGTAGGCCGAGCCAAGCTGGGTGATTTGCGGGGAAACACATGTCACTTCCTCCGGTGTCCAGTACACGAAGGCCCTTGACGTTGTCAGCCACCCGCACGAGTTCTTGCACAGCAGCGTGATTTCGCCCCGAGTATCCGGTGATGATGAGAGGCTCCTGAGCGTTCACCAAGGCCTCGGCAATCGTCTTGACACCCTTGGGAGGAAGAGCGGCGGGTTCGACGGGATGCCAGAAGTCCATCTCCAGCTTGTATGGGGTCAAGTCCTCTTCCATGGGCTCGCGCGCGCCATAGAGATAGACAGGCCCCTTGGGATCGCTCATGGCAAACGAGAGAGCCCGATTGACCATCTGTTTGACATTCTTACCCGACTTGATCTCGCCCGTGTACCTGCAGTACTGGGCGACAATCTGCTTCTGGTCCGGCACGTCTTGTATCCAGTGGATGTATTCTGTCCGGCTGCCGCGCATCTCGCCCTCGATGGTGAAGGGCGACAGGCCGGCGAAGATGAGGACGGGTGCGCGACCGCACGAGGCGTTGTGTACGGCGGCTCCGAGGCCTTGGGTTCCGACGTCGACGTGCACGATGACACATTGGGGTTTGCCCGTCAGTCTGGCATATCCGTCCGCCATGGAAAGGGCGACCATCTAGACGC